CCTACGTACCCACCTCCGACGTCGCGGTGCTCGAGGCCTGGGGTCTCGTCCGCTTGCTCCGCTGCTGTGACGGTGACACAGCCAGGGCTGCCTCGTGCGCAATGCGGCCGGGTCGCTATGTCAGGTATGAGCCCCGGCGCCTCCGGAGAGGAGAGGGAAAGTGAGTGAGTGAGTGAGTGTGTGAGAGAGAGAGAGAGAGAGAGAGAGAGAGAGGGGGGGGGGCGTGTCGGCGGCCAGACATTGAAGCGGTGCCTAGTGAGTGGTGAGGGGGGAGGGGGTAGTATTCATATGGAACCGTTCCCACGAGAAGTCAGTGAACGCTCAAAAGAAAGGCGATTAATTCGTCTGATTAAAGGCCCTTGCGTGAGTGGCGTGTCGCCTCGGCGGCTCCGTCCTCAGATCTCCGGCATTCCCTTTCACCCTCGCGGTGATGGACTTCCCCGACTACTAACATTAACATTTTCCCAAAGATGTTTCCAGATCCAGGATTGATCGTTACCGGATCGTTAGTGTGGATACAGAGTTAGTTCACGAAACGCAAGGCGTGATTTTCACGCTGTGTAAGCTTCACGCAGCACGCAGCCAATCAGGATCCGACTTTCATCACGTCTGGCGTGAGCGTGAGAATCACGCTCGCGTTTAGGGAACTCTGTATCCACCTTAAGTTTGACATACTTTTGCACTACTTCCCAACTCCCTTGCTGTAAGTTCAGCCCAATGAACCTCGTTTCAACATCTTTAAGTTAGTCACGATTAAGACTCATCAACTTAAGACATCTAGTTGTTTCGTATTGTTGTACTAGGAGTGGAACGTCGTTATTGTGACAGTTTGCCAATGTCTTTAAAACAATATAGGACTTTAGGAAACAAAAAGAGGCACATATTGATTTCCAAAAAAGTATTTTTTCATTTATTAGAAAACAAAATCGTAAACACTAACGAATCAGTCTCAAAAACAGGTAAATATCGAATAAAATTATAGAAATTCGCCCCTTCCTTTCTCAGCGACTAGACATTAAAACTATCTCACACACTATGATAAATGGTAATAATACACTTACTTAGAATAAATTCAATTGATCTACCTCAAAGGGCACATCAGATGATGCAATCATCCACATCCTTTAGGGCGCGCACTCTTTTCGGCAATGATGGCACTGCATACAAGAATGATGCAACATCAAGCATCAACTACACATTCACGCGTCAACAATCTTAATAACGATCGGAATGATGCAACATCACTTATTTCTCGACAATACTGCACTACACACTACACTTCGCTGGCGGGGTGGTCGAGGCCGGAGGCCGCCGTTCAGCTGGAGGCCTGCTGCTCGGCCTGCTTGTCCTGGAGCTGCTCCTGCTGCTTCTGCTCGCCGACCCTCTGGATGGGGATGGCCTTGGGCTCGCTCTCGGGCTGCGGGGGCTGCTCCTTGAAGGGGGCCTCGATGGCGAGCACGCCGTCGGAGTGCAGCAGGGACGACAGCTGCTGGACGTCGATGGTCTCTGGCAGGGTGACGGAGCGCACCATCTCCTGCGCGTACCGGCTGCCGTCCTGGCCCTTGCGCTCGCACCTGGCCGAGATGGTGAGCTGGCGTCCGGTCTCGTCCAGGGACAGGCTGATCTCCTCGGGCTTGAAGCCGGCCAGGTCGAGGGACAGGCGGTACTGGCTGCCGCCCTCCTGCGGGCCCAGGGTGTGGTCGATGGGCAGCGCGGCTGCGCGGGGCAACCGGGGCAGCCAGGAGGGGACGCTGCGGAACATCTGCCGCTCCAAGCGGTCCATCTGGCGGTCCATGTCGCGGATCAGGGCGCCGATGTCGGTGGGGCGCGGGAAGGGCGAGAAGATGGAGCGCGCCTGCTGCAGCTGCGGCGCGGCCAGGTGGCGGCCCATCCTGGGGGCCAGCCTCATGCAGTGGTTGAAGGCCATGGCGTTGAGTACCTTGGTGTCACGGGGGATGCTGCTACTGCTGCGTACGGAGACGAGTCTTGGCGGGGTCGCTTGGCTCTGCTCTGTTCGCTCGCTCAGTTCAAACTGATGCCGGTCTCGCGCCGCGCGGTGCTTTTATCGGCCGCGGCCACGACTCGCCACGGCCCGGCGCCCCGGCACCTCCCAGCGCGCTCTCGAGCGTTCGCGGCGTTCCGCGGCGTTCGAGAAACTCCCCGGCCGCTCTCCGTCCCACTCGCTCCCATCGCGCGCTCTCACTCCCACCGCCCCACCACCGCGGACGCTTTCAGCCCCGCTGCCCCCGCCCCACACCCGCGCTCTCGCTCCTTCTCCCTCCAAACAGTGCCTCTCCGTCGCACCAGAAGCGTCGCGCGTCTTCCCGTAGCTTCGCGGCCGCCGACCGCCGACCGCCCCGTATTGCATCATCCGCCACGAATGAATGGGGTGCAACGTGAGTGAATCTGGAGTCAGAGGCAAAACCTTGCCACATTTTAAAGGGTTTACAAGTTCTCCCAGTTGTTACTCTTGACCCGACTCTGTAAGATGAGAGCGACAAAGAGAGCGACACTGAGCTTAGGGGAGGGCCGAGTCCGGTGGTTCGCCTTGGCAACGGGTAAACACTTCGCAACAACCGGGTGCACGGTGGTGCCGAACTTTTCACTTGATTGTTGACACCGCATTGTCACACCGATTCGCACCCGCTCCAACAATACTTCTCAACAATGTCGCCCCAGAATGGTGTGGAGGAAGCTTCAGAGGAGGGGAAGAGATGGGAGACTGCCGAGGTAACGTTACTAACAAGTGTTAAGTGTTGTGGGGGTTGGACGCCGTCGGCGCCTGAGGTAGGCAACCGTATGCACGGTGTGTGCGTCCGGGTGCCTACTCCGGACTCCGCAGGGGTTCTAAACGCTTGGGTGTGGGTGTCGAAAATCGTGCGCGTATTGACTCAGACTGATCTCTGATGACCAAGATGGGCCCCGTGGGCCCGGCGGATGACGTCGTCCTGACCCCGACGGCGGCCCCGGAGGACGCCCCCGTGCCGGCGCCGGCCCACCCTTTTGTCACCGAGCTAGGCCCCGTGGGGCCCTGGGCCTTTGGACGCACCGAGTGGAACCCGGCCTCTGGACTTACGGGTACGTCACGACGTTCCACAAACCAACTTGGGTATTTATTTTAAAACGGGGCCTCTTTGAACGACACGTAAAAATGTGCACAGGAGTGCGTCCCGTGGTGGACAGGTACTCGGTGACGAGGTTCAGCCCGGGCGACTGGCTCAGGCACAACGCGGAGCTGACGGCCACGGCCACCGCCGCGCGGCAGCGAGGGGACGCGTAAGTATTCGGCCGGTGGAGAGGAGTCCACCCGTTTCCCATAGTGCCCACTCTGGTGTTCCATAGTGTCCACACCCGTGTCCCATAGTGCCCACATTGGTGTCCCATAGTGTCTACACCCGTGTCCCATGGTGTCTACCCGTGTCCCATAGTGTCCACACCCGTGTCCTATAGTATCCACACCCGTGTCCCATAGTGCCCACACTGGTGCCCCATTGTGTCCACACTGGTGTCCCATAGTGTCCACACTGGTGTCCCATAGTGCCCACACTGGTGTCCCATTGTGTCCAAACTGGTGCCCCATTGTGTCCACACTGGTGTCCCATAGCCCATAGTGTCCACACTGGTGTCCCGTAGCCCATAGTGTCCACACTGGTGTCCCATAGTGTCCACACTGGTGTCCCATAGTGCCCACACTTGACTTGTGTCGACACCCAGGGCGGCGTGGTCGGCCCGGGAGGTGCGGCGGCGCGCCGCGGCCGAGCTGGACGCGCTGCACCGCGACTCGTCGGACCGGCTGCAGGAGCGCGCGCAGCACGTGTGGCGGTGGCGCGCCGAGCTGGAGCGCGCCGCCGAGGTCATGTGGGACGAGATCCAGCTGCTGCAGCAGACGCCGCCCCGCCTCAACCGCATCCTGGCCGCGCTCGCCAAGGCCGCCGCCGTCGCCTCCGAGTGCATCGCCGTGCGCTGCAAGCGCCCCGACACGGACCTCATCCGCGACCCGGCCCACGACCAGCTGGTCAGGGAGGCGGCCCTCATCCGGGAGGTGGGACACATTCCATCAGACCAGATCAGACGATTTCAATCCGCATGAAAATACTTGGGTCGGAGAAAAGACTCGCTGACTTCGAGCAAAAATACTTTGTGAAAGCTTTGAAAACAATTTGCAGGGATGTGTTTGAAAACTGTGGGTGTGGTTATGTGTAGGTGACGGCCATGACGGAGCGCTGCCTAAAGCAGGCCGTGGAGCAGATCCGCGCGGACCGGGCCGCCCTGGTGGCGCTGCAGGCCGACTGGTCCTGCAAGAAGGACTGCTACCGCGTGGACACGCTGGCGCGCGCCGTGACGGCGCACCGGGAGCCGCTGGTGGGCGTGTTCCAGGAGGGCGCGGCCGTGGTGCCGGACCGGCAGGTGACGCCCGGCGACTGGGAGCAGAGCACCCGGCGCAACATCGCGGCCTCCGAGGCGGAGCGGCAGCGCTCCATCGCCTTCCGCACGCTGCTGCAGCCCATGCTGGACGGTGCGGTCCGGGACGTGCGCGCGCAGGCGGCGAGGGTCGACGACGCGCTCGCCAGGAACGTGGCGCTGGTCGCTCGGGCCGTGGAACACTTTGACGAGCAGTACAGACTGGTGAGGGGGTGTGCCTCGGCTCGCGGCGGACGGACTGGTGTCGGCGGCCGGGTGAGAGCTCTCTGACGCGCTCGTGCTCGCAGACGGTGCGGAAGGAGGCGGACACCGAGACACTCATCGAGGCCCTGCGCGTGGCCATCCGGAACACGGACCCCAACCTGAAGACGGCGCAGAGCAGGCTGCACACGCGGCAGCAGAGGATGGCGTCGGAGAACTGCAGGGACCCTCCGCAGGCGGGGTGAGTGCGCTGCGCGCGAGGCGCGCGAGACCGCCAGGGGAGTCCCAAGGAGCGCAGAGAGGCTGATCGTAATTTCACCTTGTTAGCCTGCTGGAGGAAGTGTCCAGGGTGACCATTGCCGCCACGGCCCTCGACGGACAGCTGCGCAACTCGACCAACGCCCTGCACGAGGTGAGTCCTACCGCCCCGACTAACGCTGTCACCGTCACGCCCCCCTAACGCCGCACCATGCCCTCGCAGATCCGAGAGGAGAGGGCTCGGCTGGAGGCGTGCCTAGTGCTCAAGAGGAAGCACCTGCACCTGGACAGAGACCGCGTGCTGCAGCTGAGGGAGCACTTCCCCACCGCAGGGTCTCTTTCGGGGCTCAATTGAGCAGCACAACACATAGTTAAGTTGTTATTTCATTTCAAGTAGTGGCGATGGCGAATAATGATTTAGACAAATATTTTACAGATCACATAAGGTTTATTGCTCGTAAGCGTTCCTATTGCTATTCAATATTATAAACAAAACAAAATGCCTTAGCCTAATGACTGACTAAGCCAGAACTATACATAGCACCTCGCACTCATTTATCACAGCCTTCATTACATATCACAACGAATTAGCAAAATACAGAAATTCTTCGCATCATCGAAAAAAATATAGAAGAACTTTTTTGTGCTAACTTGATGGCCTTGATGGACATGGGCAATATGTCAAACTTTACCCGTTTTTTTTTCACAATAACCCAGGAAAACCCTGAGAATAAGATCGCATTAGAAATACTGCACATACTCGTTCCTCCTCCCCCGTCCCGCATTTGTCCTTCACTCCACCAGATCGCTCTTGATGCCGGCCACCCTGGCCGCCTTCCTGAACATGCGGCCCAGGCCGCGGCTCATGACGCTCGCCCAGGACGGCACCCAGCGCGGCAGGTACTGCAGGAACAGGCGCAGGCGCCACAGCTGGAAGGTCTGGCGCCAGGTGAGCGCCTTGGGCAGCACGGTGCCCAGCTCCAGCACGTCCTCCGTCAGGTAGGCCAGGCTCACCTCGAGCGCCGAGATGGGCATGTACTGGCGCATGCCCTCCACCATGCAGCGCGTCATGTGCTCCCAGCGGGCCGTGCCCTCGGCGCCCAGCGTCCTCAGGTTGGGCCTGACACAAGATGGACAACATCAAGAGTCTTTTCTCGAGTATTGTTTTTGTTTGAATTTTAGATCTACTTACACGGCTAGTGTGCGCAGGTACAGCTCGCTGCGTTTCAAGACCAGGTCCAGACCGCCCAGCGCCCAGTTGAACGTGTCGTCGATGCCGAGGCAGTACCCCAGCACGGCCCAGAGGTGCACCACAGCCTGGGGGGACGACAGTTGTCGCGTTTTATACGTTACAGTTCGATCTGGGTCAATTGTCAAAGCAATCTCCCGGACGGGGTTCGTTCTCACCTCCAGCTCGCGGCGGGTCACGTAGGGTGCCGCAAACACCTGCGGCTTCAGGATGAACAGCCCGAAGAAGCCCCACTGCGTGATGGCCATCTCGCCCTGCGAGAGAAACGGCCTTCGGTAGCGGTCCACGCTCAGCTTGACGGCGCCCAGGCGGCCGGGGTCGCGGCCCTCGAAGGCGGACATGGCGGGGCACGGCCCGGCGTAGGACCCGCCGGGCACGGAGGAGAAGACGGACTCGAAGAGCGCGGCCTGCGGGCAGAGGAGCTCGCGGGGCTGGTCGCGGCCTGCGGGGCAGCGAGGAGGAGGGGTCAGTCCACCGCCAGAAATGGAGCGACACCGGAATTTTAGGCGATATCACATAGATATCGTTTTGATATCGCATGTCGTTTTTGTGCCCACTTTCGTGTCGCTATAGCGACACGAAAAGCGACACAAATCGATATGCGATATCGAAACGATATCGCCATTTCTGGCGGTGGTCACTCGCGCTCCCCGTTGTGGAAGAAGTTGGAGGGGAAGCACACGGGAAAAGATTTATATATTTAGCTAAACAATAGCTAAGTAGAGCTGATTATTTAGGTAAGTATCTATAAAATTGGCTATCTAGTTAAAGCTATTAATAGATACGTAGCTAAAAATTAAGCTATGCACGGAAAAAAGGAATTGGTCATCTGAACTAATACATAGTTAATTTCGGGACGATCGATAAATATTAGCTGTGGTAACGAAGATTCAGTTGTCAGAGCCAAAAGCTGGTTTCTAAAACAAAGCACGTCGCTGCAGGAGCCAATTCGTGGTTTTGATTTTAGAACGAATGCGTTTGGTCAAGCACCGAACAGCTTGTTCTGGCAACGTAGACTTGGTTCTGACAGCAAATTGTTAGTTACGTCATCAATTTTTTGATCGATTGTCCCGAAATTAACCAGTATTTAGTTTTGACGACCAATTCATTTTTGCCCGTGTGTAGCTATACATACCTCAATTTTTAGCTACATACCTAAAAAAATTAGCTATCCCTCATGAAGCTATTGGTGGAGCTTTATAGCTAAACCGTGCACGCGAGGACTCACCGATGGTGAACCTAACTGCCAGCTCCTCTGGCTTGCCATCGTTGCAGGCCTTCCGGACGTTGGCGTGCATCCTGCGGACGGCCACCAGGTTGCGGTAGCACTCGGACTCCGGGTCGAACGGGTCGGAGGTTATCCAAGACAAGAGACGCATATTGGTGGACAGGTAGCGTCGCCCCGCCGTCTCGGGGGTGTCAGACCTGCAACGCGGAGGTGGCATTGAGAACATGTCCGGAGAGGGGTGGGTGGTCGGGGCCCCTAGGTTGTAGGTTCTTGAGGACGCTCACACGCACCTGGTCGTCGAGACGAGCGGGTCCAGCCCAGCCGGGAAGGCGAACAGGAGGAACAGCGCCTGCGCCTCCGCCGTCGCCATCCCGGCGTGGTTGTCCCTCGCGACGCGCTGGCCCTCCAGGAAGAGCTGCTCGTCGAACCAGGGCGGCCGGACATCCTGGGCGCTGCCCGAGTCGCCCGGGGTGCTGTAGCCCTCCTGGGAGAACACCTTGAAGTCGCCCGAGAGCTCGGCCACGTTGGGCGGGTACTCCACCTGCACGTACTGGGCTCGCCACTCCAGGGCGGCCTGCTCCGCAGTCTGCAAAGAAGGGAACGTGACGTCACGGCAACGCAGGCGGGGCAGAGCCTTAAGGCAGGGCTAGCGCCGTGGCGGATAGGCAAGCCACGCGCGCCGGCGCGCTGCGGGACTGCCTATCCGCTCGCAGCGCGGCGCGCACCGCGGCACTTAACGACATGAAAGACGCCCATAATGACCTTGATCCGCTGGACCCGTGACGACGGCTGGGGCGTGCCCGCGCCGGCATCCTGATCGCCCAGGGGGCACTCCGGCGGCGGCAGGCAGAAGTCGCCCTCCCCCTCCTCCGCGCCGCCTTCCGGGAGTTCGGGCATCGCGCCGGCGGGCTGGGCGGCGGGCCGCGACGCAGAAGAGCAAGGTCACGGGGACGAGGACCTGCCGGAGCCGGAGCCGGGTGAAGGGTGGGGCGGTAGTGAGCAGAGCGGAGCAGAGCGGCGGTGGCGGACTTCTACGGGGCAATGAAGCAGATCGTGGGTTACAGTCGCGGGGTAAGGCAGAGGGCAAGGCTCGAGTGGTGAGTGGTATTTTAACTAACTCTTATTGCTCGTTCGTTATCACCAGTGGTTACGATTCCATTATTAGTTCTGAACGGGGTTGGAGAGGGAACGACGAACGGATCACTGTTAAAGTCTTACGAAGAAAAATGCCAAATCCTTTGTAATACGAAGGATTTGGACGCTTCGTAGGGAGCAAATCCTTCGTAGGTACGAAGCATTTGGCATTTTGCTTCGTAAGACTTTAACTGTGATTAGTTAGGCTCGCCTCAATCGGAGTCCTGCTACGGCCTACGGTGTCGCTTTTTCGATGAAATTATCTGAGGACATTTTATGTCATTGCGCGACTCAATGGCAAATCTTGCAGTCGCAGAGACACCGAGGGGAGACAAAAGAATCGAATCGAATCGTTGGATTTGGAGTGGGGCGGCCGCGAGTATATTAGCTGGGATATGTGTTGCCATTCACAGGTGCTTCGCGTCGTTTTTTATTCTCGGATGAAAAAGCAAACCGAACGTCACAGGCATTTTGTCGTGGAGCAGCAGAGCTCTATTCAAACAGTCCCTTGATATCCCGCGCACAGAGCAG